CTAGCCAGTTCATGGATTAGGCCCGACTTGACCCACGCTCACCCCTAGGGTAAAAGATAATTATGCACTTAGCCCCTTTGTGTTGATTATACCAAAATATAGATTTTTTGCATATAAATCCTAATATTCACTATATATCTATATCCGTAATTATATCCTATCAGTTGTAGATATTTGGTAGTCTAGTGCTGTGACGGATACAAATATATCATCAGGTAAGGAATTTGTTTAATTTAATTGCACTTAAATCTACTTTTCTATACTTATAGGCGGATTCAAAGAATCAATATTCATGCTACAGTAACTATTGTGCCATGAAGAGTAAATCGACCCCCAGTCCATCTGCTGCAGCAAATTACTGTACCATAAACAGTAAATCAAATCTCCCACTATATATTTTTAAAGTTAATGTTGATGCTACAGTATTTTTTCTGTATCATAAACAGTAAAAAAATCAAATGTATTAAAAAGTATATCATCCTCTAAGTATAAAGGAGCAGATATGATTTCTAAATCAAATATATTAAAACTTAAATCCACCTTTAAGTATAGATGAGTAGATATAATTTCTAATTTTAAACATACAATAATCAAATTAAATGTATTAAAACTTAGAGAGAGATAAGTTCAAAATGCAATACTTAAAAAAATAGGGGGCCTTGCGCACACTAGTACCTTACAATTTCTCCTACTTCGCTCTTGTATACTCTCATTTGTTTTAAGAAGCACTTACTTACCCTAAAAGTTTTTAAAACTTACACATAAAAAAACTACTTAAATGCCCTCAGTTATGCAAACACGAGTCTCCCCTCTAAAATTATTCAGCAATACTTAGATACTAATTTCTGAACTTCTTAACACTTTATTTTTTGTTGAAGTTACTATTAATCGTAGTACAATTCTATATTAAATCTATCTTAATTCTATTTTAAAATAGTATTCAATATTCTTAACAATAAACTAGGCAAATAGTAGGAGGTAAAAATATTCTAAAATTAGCATGTGAATATCACATGATAATTTTTTTAGGGGAAAACTCTTGCGTATACATAACAGAGGGTATTTAGGGGTTGCTTGGTTTACTATAAAAATAAATTACAGCAAATGTTGCATGCAACATTTGTTATAAGAAATCAACTTCAAATTCGCTAGTTGGATATCAGCAATTATATTATCATAAAATGTATTTCCAATGCAAATTCAACGTCTGGTTGAAAAGAAATTTGTGTAAAAGCTATATAATTTTACCATATAAGAAAACTTGGGTGGAGATGATTTTCCTGTTTTGATTTTAAAATATTTTTCGATGAGGTGTGATTATTCTAATCTTTAACTTCACTTTCTAAAGCATGCAGCTTTTGCTCCACCAAATTGGTCATAGCAGTTGCAATAAGCTTTTCCTACAAAATGCAAGTTCATTTACATTTGCCAATTACAAAGTTGCAAACCAAACATACATGTACAAATCGTGCTGCTCTGTTTACTCTTACAACTCTATTTTCCATCCAACCAAACGGTCTCAAAGTTTTAGAACTTAAGGTAAGTTTTAAAAACTTCAAGATATAAAAGCGCTGCCAAAAACAAATGAGGGTATATAAATGCAACATAGGGGAAACCATAGGGTATTTAAGTGCAATTAAACCCTCTTTTTCTAGCACCCCCTGGGTAGAAGCGAAGAAGCCAACAGCCGCTTCCATTGTTTGTGAGAGTGAAAGCATCGGAACGAGATGATGCTGGGAGCGTTATCAGCAAAACCCTCCCTTTCTCCAAACCCCAATCCCTCCTCCTCTCATCGCCATTCCATCAAACACCCCGCGAGCAAACATCGCCGAGTATTTTTCCTCGACGTCAACCCCATCTGCTACAGTGGGCCCCACCCCAGCCTCCCCTCCTTTGCCCGCTGGCTCTCCCTCTTCTTCTCCGACGTCTCCCTCGTCGACCCCGTCATCGCCGTGAGTGGATCCTTTGATTTGCCCTAATTTCATTTGTTTGTGTTGTTTTTTTGATGGGTTTTAGGGGTTTTCTTGGTTTTTTTTTTCAGGTTTTGGATGGGGAACGAGGGAATGAGTACAGGAGGAAGCTGCTGCCTTCGTATAAAGCGCACCGGAGGAAGAAGGTGGAGGGCTTGAGGCAGTCGAGCGAATCGAGGCTCGAGGTCGTCGGAGTTCTTCGCGAGTGCAATGTGCCGGTGAGCTGCGGTCTTTTTTGCTTGTTTGGTTAATTTTCGGATTGATCATGTCTTTTTTTTTGCTGTAGCAAAAATGATAATGTTACGAAGAGATTTGGGATATACACTAAAATAAGAAGAGAGAGAACAAAGTGTAATGGTTTAATCGTGTACAACAAACTACGATGAGAAGTTATAAGATTATATAGTCAATAAACAATTGAGATGGTTATGTACAACAAATTAGTAAGCACACAAATCAAGAAAAGTTTATAAGATTATAGCTAATGAGTCAAAGAGGACTTTGGGTAGATCAAAAGAACTTGGTTAAAAGCAATTTAGAAGGATATGATAATAGTCAACTTAATAGAGAGAGAGATGACCCGTAATAGAACTAAATGGAAAAATATGATTCTCGTACCATCGTCCCATCCTCCAAATTTTGGGATAAAGCAGCAGCAGCAGTAGTAGTAGTAGTTGTTGTTATGTCGTTTCCGTTTGCTTGTGAAAGGAGAAATTTAGTCATTATGATCATTACTACCTAAGCATTGTCTAGAAAAAAATAGGGTTATTGTGGAGCAATGCTTCATGAAAGTTTTGACAAAGTTTTGTTATGGGCTATCAGCAGATGCCAAAATTATCTTACCTTTTGCCAATTTTTTGTCAAACAACACTATGATCAAGAGAGGAGTGTCAATAACCTAAATGCTTTAGTGCAGTTGGTTTCTTCAAAAATTTCTAAACCTAGGAAAAGGTTTAGGACCTTGTTTTGTGCCAAGACTAGCAAGTGCCAGTGCTTAACACCTCCCAGCTCTTGTCAAATACCTAAAAATGAAGAAGAGCAAGTCTTGCTTGTTTTTTTTTTAATCAAGGGAAATCTTAGCGTTATATGAAAAGATTTATGATGCTT